CTACACCAAATTACTCTTCCTCAACACCTCAAATGATAGGAGAGTAGCTTAAACGCTGAACAGAAGAGGTTGAGGACTCTGGAGTTTAACCGGGAGAAACTCCAACAGAAGGTGATCAAGTCCAAGAAGGCTGTGAAGAAACAACAGAAACCCTCTACCCCCTCAGATTCCGAGGAAGAAGAGCTTCTGATAAGAAAAACCTGTGAAGAAAGTTGTCACAAAGAAGGCTGCCACAGCTAAAGTCCAGAAGCCGGTGGCAAAGAAGTATGTGATAAAGAGAAAGGCACCTTCTTCTATTTCTACAGAAAGCACCCCTTCTGCCTCTCCCATTGTGAAGAAGGTCAAGGTTCTGACTCCTGCAATTCAGGGGGAACGTGTTAACCTAACTCCTTCTGTGCAACTCATCACGAATGCCTGGCAAGGCAAGAAGATTGTGTTCGAGTCAAGTGACTCAGAAGATGAAGTAGTAGTGTTGGATGCCACTACTCAGGGGGAATCTCACAGATCTCCCTCTGCAACTATGCCTGATCTACCCTTGCTGACTTCCTCACCAGCACATCATGAAGTCAACAGAACCCCTGAGCCCTCAGAACCTCAGGAGGATATCTCCTCTGTCCTAGACAAACAATTTATCAGGGTTCTAGCATGGAGGAAGTGGAGAGTGGGATCTCTCTCTGAACTGATCAGAATGCTCCCCCACTTCATCATTGAGGAAGCTGAAGTCCTCAAGTGGGCTGGAACAGAAGATGTTGAGCAATGCCTCAACAAGGATTTCCTTCTATTTGTACTAGCAGAAAAGAAGAAGGAGGAATGCAAAGGGAAGGGCAAGCTGATTCATGTTGATGAGGAGGAACATGTCAAAGCATTAACAGAAGATGAAATGGCTGCTTTTGATTAGTGGCTCAGTGGGAAGAAGCGCAAAGAATCCTTGATCAAGTTTCGTCCAAGCGCTCATGCTGAAGGAGAACCATCAATAGCTAACGATCTCCCATTGGCCATGGAGAAGTTGGTCAAAGAATGGAGGGACTCACAATTCAAAGAAACCGTACTTGAGGTAATCTCTAAATCTCCCTCTGTTCATACAGAACCTCACATTCCCTCCCCTCCTATATCACCTCCTAAACCACAACCTTCACCCAAAATCCCAACTCCCTTTACTACTCCACCTCAATCCCCTCACCAGAAATCTCCATCTCCATAGAAATCCTCACCACCACAGAAAACAACTCCACAACCGAATACCCCTCCACCCTCACCTCAGAAAACCCCTTCCAAGGAGAAAACTCTCTCCAAGGAAAAATCTCCATCTAAACAGAAAACCCCATCCAAACATTCCTCACCTTGTAAACCCATCAAAACCAACAGAAACCGCTCACCTTAACCTCCACCATCTCTACATCAATAGAGAACGCCTCTGACTCCGAAATCGAAATCACCTACCCTACCTCAATAAAAGTCACCCTCCCATGCTGCAAATTCTGCAAGAACCTCTCTTCACTCTACTGCATCCGCTCCAAAGAAACAGCCTCTACACCGTGTCCTTTCATCTGATAATGACAATGATGGATTCCTTCCATCCTCCCTAGCTGGAGATCTCACCTCAAAGAGAAGAAAAACTCCTACCACAGAACCTTCTCCACAGCATCCCTCTATGCAAAAGACCAGAAGGCCTCCAATGCCCAGGTCAAGAGGACTGGGAATGCCTGAGTTTGAAGAAACAGAACCCCAAATTCCCTTTAATCAGTTCGTCGAAGCTGCAGACGAATTTGGTGGTCAAATGTTGGATGGAATGAACAAGCTCATACAAATCAATGACAAGCATTTTGAGCATCTATCTCATGTCAATGACAACCTCAACTCTGGTATGAATTTCATCTCATCTCGCTTTGCTACAATAACAGAATCCCTCAACAACTTCATGGCCTCATCCACTGCCAAGACTGACGCTCTCACCACAGAGGTTGAAGGTATTCACAAAACTCTTTTCACCTTTCACCAAACCTTGATGGCTCAAGGTAAAGCCATTGAAACCATCTCTGGAAATCTTGAAGAGCTTCAATGGCCTGACACTAAGACTAAGGAACAGTTGCTGGATATTGAGGAATTGTGCAAAGTTCACCGCGATCAAACCTGAACTCTATTTTCTAGCTGACAAAGAAAGATACCAGAAATTGGTTCTACTTGAAGCAAGTTCCAAGGATTTTGCCTCAGCTCTTCAGAAGCAACAGGGTCTGATAGAAGGCCTCACCTCTGTCACACAGACTCTTCCAGAAACCCTTGAGCAGCTTGCCACATCCCAGGCCTCAGAGTTTCAAAAGATATCTATGATGATCTCTGACCTAGATGATGCCAAAAATGGGGAAGAGGATCCCCAGCAGAAGAAGAAGAAACAATCTGCCAGAACCTCAGCTGGCCCATCTGTTGATCCAGCCCCTTATTTCCAGGCTTCCATACAAAAGAAGAAAGAAGCTGGATTCACTAGATCTTCATCTCCTCATAGAAACACATTCAAGAAGAGGAAAGCTCTAAACTTGAGAGAATGGAGATTAAATGGATCTCAGAGGATAGGTAGAGCTCAGTTTGAGGAAATACAACAGAAGATGACTCCTACTCAGCAGCAGAACCTTTATCTTGACAAAGATGGTCGAATAAGAGTTAGGCATGGCGGCTCACTGGAAGAAGCTGAGTACTGGTATCATAATAGAATTCTTCCAGGGAAGGACGTCCATGAAGGTGTCCTCAACTATCTTGAATGCAAGCTATCACCCATTTGGGCATCTTATCAAAGAGCTGGGAACCTCACAGAGATCAGAGAAGAAGTTAATGCTGAATTGAAAAGGCTTAAAGAATTGGATGATCAAGCTATAGCTCATGCTGCAAGGGAAAATTTGTAAAGGACCACCCCTACCCCTTTCCCATAATAAAAGAACATCTCTGCCTTTCACTTTGTAAGGCAATTCCTTCATATCTGTTTTCTTTAATCTCTGCTATGGTTATGTGTTTGTTTTTACCTGATTATTATTTGCTATCTGAATGTACCATACTCTTACTATTTTCCTATGCCAAGTTGCCCACCAAGATTTTAATGAAAGTTTTATACTTTAACTCTTTATGATGAAGGCACTTCTCCGGAAATAGTTAAAGGGTTTTGGCATCATCAAAAAGGGGGAAATTGTAAGGAATAATTGTAATTAGATTTTGATGATGCTATATTAATTAGGACTTTAGAGTACCCCCTCTTAAGATTTATTGTATTAGAAAATTTTCCTTTGTAAAGTTTCTAAGAATAGTCGACTGACAGAAGACCTCCTGACAGAAGACCCTTTGATAGGCTTTGTCCTGACAGGAGACCTTTGGCACTCTGTTAACTCTTACACGGACAGAAACCCTCCTGGTTCTCTGTTGAACATATCTTCGACAGAAACCCTCAAGACCCTCTGATAGCTTTCTCCAACAGAAGTGCTCAAGACCTTCTCTGATCGACTCTTTGCTGAAGACACCAGAAGGCCTGCCACTTAGAGAATTTTCCCAAGCCGGTAAACCAACTGAAGATTCCTTCAACGACTAGGAAACTTGAACGGAAAAGCTATAGTACGTGCATTAAATGCACATTTAATGCCTCCCGTACCCTGTAGAGTAAATGCAGATGATTGGCCGCAATGTCAGGATAGCTTTATCCCAAAATAGTAACCCACCAACTTTGCTGGGTCCTACTGGTCAAGTCAACTGTTCGCGCATTTAATGCATTGTCATCCTCCTCCAACGGGAAGACAACCTCAGTGAAAAAGATACACTACGAAGAACAAAAAAAAAATATAACTAAGAGAGAACTTTGCTACAATATTGCGAATACAAAAACATTCAAACATTCAAACGCACAAGCCTCCTTGAGATCAAATCTTCACCATCTTCTACAAGAGAAGGCAGACGTTGGAAAGATTATCTATTCACATCTTCTCATTTCCAACTCAAGCAAAGTTCCTTTTGTTCTTCAACACTTCAAGCTCCTCAACTACAAATCCTTTGTAACGAAGCTAGTTGGAAACTCCTGTTCTCACAAGAACTCTTCTTTAACCAGAAGGACGTCCAAGTAACTGAAGAGTGAAGTGGTGATACTTCCGGGAAGCTCAGCGAAAGGACTAGTCTTAAAGGAAGCCAGGAAATGCATCCTAGGAGACATCTACACTTGAAGAAGACGTGGAGAGCTTCTTAAGTGCTAAGACTAAGGCGTTGTAAATGGACATTTTTACAGCTTAGTGGAACAGTGGATTAGAGGAACGAGTTGTTCCTTGAACCACTATAAAAATCTCTGGTGTCATTTACTTACTGCATTTATTTATCACATTTTGTTTGAAGTGATTAACTCCAAAGAATTGGTCTCTGTGTTCAGCAGAACGTGTCTTGTGAGTTAACAGAAGGCCTACAGCCTTTGCTTCTCTGAGGCTAACCGAACAGAACCCCTACCAGAACCCCATCCGCTGCCTGTCTGTTCTGTCAACAGAACAGGCTATTTTGTTAATTCTGTTACTTAGTTTGAAAAGTTAAAAACCAGTACAGTCTATTAACCACCCTGTAGACTGTACCCAGTATAACCGGGACCAACAACTCACATTATTCAAACAGTATACAAACAAAATAAAATTGCCATTGAACAAATATATGAAGTTTGTTATTCAAAACATAATATGTTCGATTACATCATATTACTTAAGCACGTATAACAAAAGCATTTCCAACAAACTCAATAATCCATCTCTCTACTCTATTAGACAGTATCAATGTTTTAACGAGGAATTGGATTGCCACAAGTTGTTTTAACGAGGAATTGGATTGCCACAAGTTTTTTTTGTTGTGTCCAAGGGCATGGCAACGAGAACACCTTCGACATTTTGATCCACGAAACTCTCCGATAGAAGGAATTCTGGATTTCTTTGGACGGCCAGGAGGTCTCTTCAAACAATTTGGATGCTTGCATGCAATACTAAGAACACTATCTGGAATTGACCATGACTTTGGATCTGGAATTGGATGCATGGTAGTTTTTCACTAAATGTTTTTCACTAAATGCACGGCCACTAAATGTTTTTCACATTTGCTGGACAAAATGGTAGTTTTCTTAGAAGCTTTTTCACTTCTTTCCGTGAACCACTTTTGCATGTGTTGACGTATGAAGTCAATGAGCTTAGATATGGAATACTCTCTGGCAGTAACATTAACCTTATTCAGTGACTCGGCACAATTAGAGGTAAGCACACCAAATCTTTGTGGACCAGCCATACACCTAGCCCATCTGTGACTCCCAATCTTATCTAACCAAGGACGAATCTTGACATTATCAGAATCTAACATGGCTAGGTATTCTTCATATTCAGGAATAGTGGCAGCCATATAAGCAGCCTTAAACTTCCACCCAAGCCCATCACCAGAACCTCTGAATTTGTGGATAAGATTACGCCTAAGGTGTTCCACACAGAAGCCATGAATAGCATGTGGAAAAACTTCAGATGCAGCTTTGATAAGTCCTTTATGGCGATCTGAAACAATATATAAATCGTGACGGTACGTAATAGTATCACACAACTTCATCAAAAACCATTTCCAAGAAGTTGTGGATTCAGAATCACAAATGCCGAAAGCCAAAGGAACAATGTGTCTATTTGGATCTTGCCCACAAGCTGTTAACACGACTAGCACCTCTAACAAGACTTATTGAAGATTCAGGGTTTGAATGGTCAAGCATGTGGGCCATGGAGGGTAAAAGTTGGTACGAGGCTGCAATCTGAGTCAAACTGTTTTTCCATAGCAATTTTTTGCGCTTTCCAAGCTTTCTTATATGACATTGAAATTCCAAATTGCAATTCCATCTCATTCCGTAACTGTTTGGGAGTATATGGTTTTTCAGATGCATCAAGATATTTGTACGCAACCATATCGGCAATGATATCTGCTGTAGCCTTCCTGTGGTTACCTTGTCTGTAATCGACCGAACAAGTATGTTCAGGATGAAACCTGGAATGCATAAAACAGAATACTGCCATCACACAAACATGGCAATTGAACTGAACTTATGGCAATAAAAGACAAATATCATAAGTCAAAGTAATGATTTTTGTGAATACCTTCTAATCTGAAACATATTGACTCCAGATAATCTATATAGATGGCAAGACAAATCAGACAAGTAGGATGATGATGTGTAATGACCTCAACATTATGGTAAAGGTTAAAACTTTTAGAGGAAGACAATTTAGAACTAACACAAGAAGAGATCAATTGAGGTTTCTGGAACATCAGAAAAATCAGATGATGAAGAATCATCATGTGGTTCAAGGTTGTGCACAACCTCATGATCAGAAACATCGACATGTGATTCAGTACAAGCTTCAGACAATGAAGAAGATACAGTTGAATTATTAGAAAAAGGAACTGTGTTGTGAAGTAGTGATGAGGTATCAACATCAACAACTTCATTACCAACAAAATGAATACATAGTGGAATTTTCTTAAAATCAGTTTGAAGAAGTTTAAGATGAAGATAAAATTTGAATGTCTCTTCATCATGAATACGAACCGGAGGGGGTCATCCATCAACCACCTAAGAAACTATGAATGAATGGTTTGGTTTGTACAGATTTAAGATTTGACTCATACTTTGAATAAAAGACACATATGTCACATCTGCACAAATTTGAATACCACATGTATCCCTATGAGTGAAAGTACAATTACTCGACCATATACCATCCAGTTTGACCATGAGTAGCAAAACAGTATCCATTTTGAAGATATGATTGCCTAAAAAAATGTTAAAAAAGTGTTATGCTAAATCATGAGAGAACATATTTAATTCAGAGACAACAAGAAAGAATATATAAAAATGGAAAAAACAAAAAATGTAAGAATGTATTTAACAGTGAATAATTCAAATTCAGTTTACAAAATAAAGCACGCCAGATGGCATTAACAGAAAAGAGGATGGCAATAATTATTTAACTATAATCAGTTAAGAATAATTGATGAAGAAGATACTGAAAATCAACGTAATCAATGTGTATGCTTAAATACCTAAACAAAAGCAACCTAAATCATCAAAACAATTTCGCAGTAGTACAGAACTATAAATAATGAATTATCGATTAAGTAAAGAATGAACTATCGATTAAGTAGAAGCATAGATGAGATAAAGGATGGAGTGAAACACCAATTTAATTACGAGTTTGTGTTCTCAAATACGTAAATCAAAGCAACAAAAATATGGAAAACAGTTCAAAAAACATGCAGACGTAAATTGATCGACGATTGAAGAAGAGTATTGAAACTTAGTAGAAATTAAGATCAACTCACTACAGAAGCTTGAAGAAGAACGGAAGCTTGAAGAGAATGGAAGATTGAAGAAGAACGGAAGCCTGAAGGATTCTCAAAATTGGAACGAAACGTTGGATCATGTGCGGATGTCGTGTAGCTGGTGATGAACGGAAGATTGAAAACGGAAATAACAGAGCAACAAAAGACGACGCAGCTAAGGGGCGCGTATAAACAGGGGCAGTTTAGGAATCCGTAACAAACTACTCCTATTTAAGGAATAATTTAAAGAGGACTCCTATTTAAGAAGTTTCCTATTAATTTAGTCCTATTTAATGCAAATACTTGTTTTCGGGCTGTTTAAATAGAAAAAAATACAATTTTGGCGCGAAAAAAGGTCGTGCATGGTCACACGCACCCTCTTGCGATCAGACTTACATGTGCACGACGTGCACGTCATCTGCGAACTCCCATCCAATTTTGCAGCTGCAGAACATAGTGCACGACATGTGCAACTCGTGCCCATGCACTTCGTGCACTCCTCTTCAGTGGCGTTTTCAAACTTTTTTCTGCTCCCCGAGTCCACATTTAAGTGCCGTAGGTCCTCTTTGCTCCTGAATTGACATCTAAAGAGTATGTAAATCTCAAATGAAACTCTAAATATATCAAATGCAAAAGAAAATTTGATAAATTATAACTTCAGTTAAATTAGCACTTTATGAATTATGACCTAATCAATAACTTTGAATTTTTGTGGTATAATTTTATTCGATTTGATTAAATGTGACAAATAAAAATGGATGGTATATACGTATTTTATCATTGTACGTTAAAACCGAGTCGATTTTTTTTTTCTGGATCTCGTATAGAAAGAAATCTATAGGTAATCATCTTTGGGCGAAGAATTAACTTTCTCTTCCTTAAAGTTTTATTTTATAATGAAATATTTGCAGTGGTCAACTAAGAATTGGATGGCCATATCATGGACCGAATCAGGAAACAACAACTCAATCAGGTCGAGCACAACCATATATACGTAGTAGATGAATATGTATCCCTTAGCTTTCCCGTGGTTTGATTCGTCAGATACTAGATTATTAGGGTGTGTTTGACAATATAATTCTGGATTAGTAGATTATATTAGCGATTTGACTAACATATTTGTTGGCTTGCAGGAATGCGTGCCAGCAGTCCGTCAGTCTGTCGATACAATCGAAACATGTAGTGGACCCAGAAAATCAGAGTAACTCTAATTAATAAAACAAAGAAGTGAAATATTAAGAGCCCGTTTGTTGACCTTGTTTTTCGGCTTATCAAGCTTATTAACCAATTTATTCACATAACACGTAACTCTAATTACTTTTAATTTCTACTTGTATTGACTGAAGTTACCGTATAAAATCATTTAAGTTATCTTTCTTATAATTTTTTCTTTAGTTTATTAGTAAAATATATTTTAATTTTTTTTCATAGATCAGTAGAATTAATCAATCCAGTCACTTCAACAACAATTTTATAAATTTCAGTATAATCCGTCAGCCGATTTGAGTATATTAGCAAACAGACTTTAAAGTAGCATAACATTCTCACGGTACATTATCAAAATATTAAGATAGTCATAACACACAAAGTTACATATATATTTCATTCTACAATTCTACAAATGTACCTTCTTAGGTTTCAACATGTTGGTCTTGTAGATAATTAGTCAAATTAATTTCACATTCAACAATAATATGATCCAATTCTTCATTTAATAATGGCGAATCATTTGAGTTAACGTCTGATCTACTTCCTGTGCTCCGGATTTTTTTAAATCCAGGTACAGTATCAAAATATCTTTTCATCATAAATTGTAAAATATTGAAAAAACTATTCATAAATATCATACATTTAATAATTGAATCCTAATACTCAAGGAAGATTTAATAATTAATCCAAAAAATTGAATTATGTAAAAGTGTAAACTTCAAAATAAAGATCGAACCTCAGTGTCGATTCTGCTACCATCCATCCGCTGCATTCCTTTGTATTCATACTGTCTTTTTGAGTATTTATACATATTTTAGTACATTTGATATAAAATATATATAATATATATAGTTATTTTTTTGGAGGTCCATGGGGTCCCGGGACCCCGTGGGACCCTTAGTGGGTCCACCACGGGAAACAAGATGTCGTGATGATTGACTGCTTCACAAATACTTCCTTTGTCCCGAAAAGGTTTGCCAAAGTTGACATTCACGTAGATTAATAAAGTAAAAAATGTGTGGTTGAAATTTGTGTAGAGGAGAGAATTAATTTTAGCCACATATTTCTTACTTTAAATGGAAATGACAAATCTTTTTGGGACATCCAAAAAAGGAAATTTGGCCAGCATTTTCGGGACGGATGTAGTATAAGGAATAAATTACGCCTTCGCTACTAGCTATTTCTTCCGTTCCTTATAACTTTGTCAACTTTTCTTTTTTGGTTGTCTCAAAATTAAAACTTTGTCACTTTCCCTTTTAATCAATCAATTTGTAACTCCTATTATTTCTCTCTCCTCTGCACAAATCTCTACCACATAATTTTTATATTATTATTTTACGTGCCGGTAAAAGCTGACAATCCTTTTAGGGACGGAGGGAGTATAACTTAGGCATAGTGATAAATGCTTGATCCCATGATGGAGTTGATGAGTCGCAAAAAGATGCTTAACCGTAATGGTTAATATGTAATGCCCTATTTCTATATGCCAAACTCATAATGTTGTTATTTGCTGTGTTTTTATATTAGAAATTACCCCAAATAGGAGTAAAACTAGGGCAACAATAAAAAATAAGACTTCTTATGTTTTTATTCCAAAATAGGACCATATTACTCCTATTTTGAAACATACGTATTTTTCCATTTCATTCTTACTCCTCCTTTAAATATGAGTAAAAGGTAGTCAAAATTTATAATTAAATGTATTAATATAAAATCGTAAAAAATATAAAAAATCATAGAAAAACAACAAAAATTTAATAAAATATTTATAAAATAAAATATTCAATTTTTTTAGATTGTTTTTTTTAATTAATAAAATGGTAAAAATCCATAAAAAAATAAAAAAATATGGATGCTTTTCCTACCGCCTGTACTGCCTCCATGCACCATCACATCCGATCGGTGTAAAAAAATGCCATATTTTGTAAAAAAAGCCATTTTTTAATATTCTAAAAAATGACATATTACTCGTTTTGAATGCCAAAGTTTTCACTAAATCTGGCATAAATATGACATTCCTAATGCAAGTGGCATTTTTTACCTTGGTGACCGGATGTGGTGGTGCTGGAGTGGCAGAGGCGGCATTTTTTTACATTTTTAAAAAATATATATGGAGTACTCCCTCCGTTTCTGAAACAAGTTCCACCTTTCCTTTTCGGGCAGATTCAAAATTAAGTTCCACTTTCAAACATTTCCTTATTTGACAAATTATCTACATCAAAACAGTGTCAAACAGTGTTCAAACAGTGCCAAACAGTGCTCAAACAGTGCCCTCCACAGTAAAGTCAAATTTATTTTCTTAATATGTGTGAAGTCAAATGTGGAACTTGTTTCAGAAACGGAGGGAGTATATTTTTTAAAATTTTTTATTTTTATAAATATTTTTATTATTTTTTTACAATTTTTTATTTTTCATGATTTTAATATGAATTAATACATTTCAATAACTACAAGAGTATATTTGTCCAAACACACATAATTAGTCCTACTACTGAGTAAAAACAAGGAATTTTATCAATTCAGGACCCGAAAGATAGATGAATTATCAATCTGGAACCTGAAAGATGGTATGTATCGGTACAAGACCTGGATGATGAAAACCTATTATTATAGCCTTATAGGACATGAATTATTTAAAATTATCGATCTAGGGCCGAAGTTGTCATAGATTTTATTAATTTTTTTACTTTGAAAATTTTAAATATCATTTAGTTTTAATAAACTATTAAAGTTTTGTAAAGACAAGAAGTTAATCAAAAACTAGCAATGGAATTAATAAAAAATTAAATAAATCATAACCTAAGAAATGTTAGGTCCTAGATTGATAGTTTGCCATCATTCGGGTCTTATACCGATACATATCATCTTTCAGGTCCGAGATTGATAATTCATCCATCTTTCGGGTCCTGAATTGATAAAATTCGAAAAAACAATGTAGTCCAATTTGTTATTATTGACTACCTTTTACACCTGTTTAGGTAAATAACCTTTTTATATTAGCAATTCCTTTAAAACTGATACAACCAAACGACTATTTACCAAACATGGATCAACGTTTTCACTTAATCAAAACAGTATAAAAGATCAAACCGATATTTTTTGGCTGAAACAGCGTCGTATGGACACAAATGGGACACCATGCCCGCAGACCGCAGTGCGTCAAGAGAACTATGACACTCGACCTTAAAACATCCAGAAAAGCAGTTTGAAACCACCACTTTCCTCAAAAAATCTCCCTTTCCCACCGTCTTGTCGCTGGTTAGTTGCACGAGTACAATGTGAGTCACAAAAAGAGAGGAGTGGGAGAGATGGAGCTTTCAACTAGAGGAAAACAATGCCAAGGGTCATTATGCTTCTGGTGATCATATCTTTAGCTCATTCATAAATTAAACTGTCTCAAGGCAATGCTACCGCAGAGTTTTATTTCAATAATTAAACTCCCCATATTAAATTAATTATTCAACTTGCCAATTAAAGGTGGTAGCGAATTGAAGGGTAGTAATGACGCAAATAATGACGGTTGATATGCCAATTGCTAGTGGTCAATTTTTCACTTTTTTGTAAATAAATAAACTATACTCTCTCTGTCCCAAATTGATTTGTAAAATTAACACTTTTGGTCAATCAATGTAAAATTGATTTGTAAATTGCACGACCACTTGTTTACGAGGAATGTGAGGAAAATTTCCCTTAAATGGGGTGTAAAGAGCATCTGGTCCGAGTGATACTCGTGAGAAATGAGAATGATTCAAAATAATGCACATTATGTTTCACTAGGGTTGGGGGATAACAATTGGGGCTGGGGGAGGGGTGGTGACAGGAGGTGACCAGCGCTGTGACAGTCTCTTTGTGGCGGTGTCAATGTGCTAGAGTATTTGTGTTACTTTGGCTAGTGTCATTGTGGTCGGTGTCACTGTGGCGGCGGCGGTCTCTTGCCGAGAACGGTTACTGATCGGAAGTGGCCTGGTGATGGATGTCACTGTGTCCGTGTCACTGTAGTTGCCATATTACTAGGGGTAAATTTGTAAGCTTACTACATATGAGTCAAATTTTTGGCAATTAAGAAAATGTCACTTTTTTATCCTTTGTCCATTTATTAGTAATATTCAAGTCAAAACTACTTATATAGAATAATGCATTTTGTTATTGTATATTTCTTGTTAATATAAATCATATGGAGCATGTTAGGATGGTTATAAAATACGGAGTACACAGAGATCAAACATTTACCATATCATACCATACCATACCAGTTCAGACCAAAATAGACCAAAGCAGACCAACAAATTTCAATTCAATTAAAAACATGACAAAGCGTTGTTTTTTTCAAATGTCTACTTACTTAATAATCAAGTAGAACCTTCTAAATTGAAATTGAATTATCAATTAATTGCTAATGAGTCCAATTTGTAAATAGTTATTAATTGCAATTAAGTCTTAAATTCATATGAAGTACCCCCCATTTTACCTTTTCGGGAAGTCCCACTAAGATTGTCCCATACCAAATTTGATAAAGATTGTGTGCCTCTAAATCATTCTTACTTTATTCTTACTTTATCAATTTAATATCAACCACAGAAACTCAATTTTCTTAATAATCGTGTCACCTTCTCTTGTCCCAATCTTAGTGGGACGGAGATAGTAGTATTTACATATATTATGGAGCATCAATTTCCAAATAAACTACCTGATAAGTCTGTATTTAGACACTCATTTGATGCGTGTTTGGATCGACTTGTGATGGTTTTCCTAACTTTTTAGGTGTTACAAGTCTCAATTTTAGCTCAAGCCATGTTACCAGGCATTGGTTCGGGTTTTATGTCTTTTGGAGTCAAAATCAAGGAATTGGAGCCCAGCATCGGCACTTGAGAAGCAATCAGGATGATTGATGATGCATTCAAAAGATAATTGAGAGATTTGGAGGTCACCGGGAGGTTCACGATGAAGATTTGAAGAAAAAAGAGCTCTAGAATCGGTTACGGGATCAAAAGAAGACAAATAGAGCTTGAAAACGGCATTCAGGATGACCTTCTGTCAATCGTTCAAGCCTATTTCTTTGTAAAAACATTAAATGTACACGATTCAAAGTCCATATGAAATCTAACTTCAAGGGCTACAAATCATATGCAGACATCTTTGCTAGAATCTGAGAGAAAGAAGGTGAAAAAAGATGATGAAGTCAGATGATCTCTGCTGCGATTTCAGAATGATACCTTCCACCGTTTTGGTCATAACTCTTGATTGGATGATTCAAATCACATTCGGCAAATTGGGATACATAGAGGACTTCACTATCTACAACTTGCATGAAGGAAGCATTGCAAATTTAGGAAGTTAAGTAGGAACGATCGTGCGTGAAGAGAAAGCATCACAGAGCTGCTGCGAGGCAGGCACGATCGTGCCTGGAGGGAGGTACGATCGTGCCTGCCCAAAATGCGTGTTGTTTCTTCGGAGGCACGATCGAAGGCACGATCGTGCCTGACACCGTGCCTGCCTCCGGAAATCCCAATTCAGCTCAAATTTTACCCAATTTTTCTATTTAAACAGCCTGTAAACTCCCGTTTTCAAGGGGGGGGGGAGCTTAGAGAGAGGCCTAGGGACGAAATTTCTTCTATTTTTCCATCTTGTTCTTCAATTCCCTTGGATTATTTGTAAGTTTCTACTTTTTAATTAATGACAATTAATTCTATTCTTCCCAATTCTATTGATTCTTCATTTATGAGTTGTGAGTAAGTTTTAATGAGGGATTTGAGAATGA